AAGAGATTGCCGCGTGAATCGTCCACGGGATCTAGTGCACACGAGGGAGACGAGCCGAGCGTTCGAATAAGCCACGTGGTCGAACAAAAGATTAAGTGTGCGGGACGAATAGAGAAAATAGGGTTTAGGATTAGAATTTAATATTATAAGTAATAAAATATATAAAATATTTAATATTTCTTAAAAATAAAATTTGATTCATACTTTTTATTCGTGCATCAAAACATAACAAAATTGATGTCTTTTTAGGTAATTTTGACGTTCCAGACGGACTGGCGTGGCCTGCTTCACCGTCGGAGGTCTTTTTTGACGAATTCATCGATTTGCGTGCAATTTTTTTGTGTCGAAAATATGTCAATATAGATGTCTTTTTCTACCAAAATTAGTGTCCTGGACGCGTTGATGAGGTCCATTTTGTCGTCGGAGGTTGTCCGATAAAGTTAGCATTTTTTACCCATCCTTTAAGCTCAATTTAAGTCCGATCTTGTGCAATTTATTGAATTTTGTGCATTTGATGTACATGTTTGATGATAAAGTCCTGAAGAAGTTTTCCTAGGGCTGGAGATCCTATTGAGAATTTCTCCTTAAGCCTCCACATGATAGTCCTTTACCACTCGACCATTGGATGATGGTTTTGAGATCATCAATGCGTGACATCACAAGAGAAATTGGAAGTGGCTGGAATTTCTAAAAGAGTGGGTCTCAGTTCTAGTTTTATAAGATAGTCAATAAAAACCCCTGGAACTAGATCTTAGGATCTTAAGGAAAATAGTAATGAACTCAAAATGAGGTCAAAAAAGTTAACTAACTAAGAACTAACTTTCAAAAGTAAAATTGCTAAAACTAAACAAAATTTTTGTTTTGACGGAAAGTTCAAATTTAAGAATGCATCATTCTCCTTTACAATGAATATATAGATCGTGAAGAAATTAAAATCATTTGAAAATATATATAAAAACTGTTTTGTGCCAAATATGAGAAATCCTATTCTTTACCCTCTAACGAGTATTATAAAGAACATTGACTAATCCAGAGTTTGGTCCCTAATTCCGTGGTTAGGCTGGGAGGATATCAACTGCCACTGCATAGCTCCCACTACTCCCACACCTGAGAGCTAACAATCTCGCATTAGTTTCCAATCAACTGGGCCAAATTGGAGATTTTAATTTATCACTTTAAAATTTGTAATTTTATATCCAACAAAATATATTTTCCTATTTATTTGTACTTAATCCCATGGATGACATACTCTCCCATGAAATCAAATGCGACTCTTCCTATGTTGTAGAAATCATATCCCTTATATGTTTCTCAATAAGTCAATAAGTTTTAACATTTCAATTGGATAGATCGAAAAGTAAATGAAGATTGGAGTTCAAATCATTATAAATTATTAACATTTAATACCGTAGAAAATAAAATCTATTCTTCACAAAATCATGTTTCAAAGTCGGGAGAAGGATAAAGAAGACTGCTCAGAACTCATGAGAAGGATACAACAAAACACAGATTTATATAATAAAATAAGTTTACAATACAAAAGAAATAAAAGACAACTTATCTCACATTCCTTCCATAGCAAATCCCTAGAAGTTCTCTCCAAGCCTTTTTCTTTTTACAATCCCACTCAATTCTTTCTTAGAAGTGTAATGAAGAAGAAATTTCTCACCTTCCATCTCCTCTTAAAACCTAGAAGAAAATCTTCTCTTCTCTCCTCTTGCATCTCACGCCAACTTCTCTCTCTCTTTCTCGTCCACCCCTTCTACTCTTTGAAGTCTTCTCTTTTCTTTTTGGGTTGCCTCATTTGAAAAGAATTCCGAATTCTCTCCAAAAGTTCCCGCCAAAAGTCAACTATTTTGAATTCGAAAGATACATCATTTAATCCAAGAGACATATCGCTTCATAAAAGAATCTTCCAAAGTGCCTAGATACATTGAATTACTCCAATAGGTGTGTTGAACAAGTGTCCCTTTGAAAATTTGAGCAAAGTCGTCTTTGACGCATCATGCACCAGAATCCCAAAATTCGCTATTTTGGTTCCAAATTTTGTCTTTTTTGCCATTTTTGCTTCAAATAACTTGAAATAATATATCTGCAACAAAAACATGAAAATGCCATTATTTAGAGTGCAATATCATCAAAATTAAGCATAAAATATGTATTTATAAACAATATATTATTTTGGTGTATGTGGCTCCCGCAAGGGCAGCAACATACGATTTGTCTGAAGCCATCATTAATTGAAGGAGGCATGTGTAAGGAACAATGAAGGTTAGTTAAGGAAAGAGCAAATGCCAAATGGAATCCGCGGGAAAGCCTTCAGGAAGAGACGCACGAAGCACAATCGGGATCGAGCAGCTGAGTTCGATCGGGAGTTCGTGGGAAAAACTTTCAGAGAGAGATGCATGAAGCACGACGCGAAAGGAGACGCTGCGATTGGTTCGGATCGAGCAGCCACCTCTGATTTGGCCTTCTGCAAGCACGAGACACCGCAGAAGCCAGGTCGACGCAACTCGAAATCTACCCACAGGAAAGAGCTGACGAAGACGGCGAAAGCGACACACGATGAAGAGAAAAGCATTGGAGGAGAAACTAGGGTTCTCCATGGAGGCGAAACCCTAGCAGAGCGTGAGCGACGACTGCACCATCATATATAATAGTATTAATTTTAATTTTGGTTCCTATAAACATATAGTGAATTAGATTGAAAGACTAGGATTTATAAGAACTCTGCAAAGGTTACAAACAATTCTTACTCTTGATTGTTAATTAACTTTAGTAGTCACATATGTTAATGTGGAAATTATGTAAGAAAATCACAAATGCAATGTTTGTCTCAATGTTCGATAAATTATTTTGTTTGTAGAAATTTATTTTAGGATAATTTTCTGAAACACATCTGTGGAATAAAAATTAGGATTAAGTGATATAGATAATTAACTTGATTGCCTGAATTCCTGTTGATCATTGAGGGAACGGTCTCTTATTAATTTTGTATTAATTGGAAAGACACGAATATTTGCATATATCGTAATTGTCGATCACATGTTTTTTTTTGCTCTAAAGGTTATTTCACAATTAGCAACAATACCACGAGAGGATAGAACATTATGAGCAATTTCTATCTTCTATTGTTTCAATCTCTCTTTCTCTTACACATTTTGAGCAATTAGCTCATTAAGAGTCCTCTGTTTCTTTGAGTATATTAACTTCTCTAAAAATGATAAATATGTGCTAGAAGAGTGATCAACGCGTTCATAAGAGTGTCTTTAGATAAATTTAACTTTAGTACTCTCATTCTAGTAACAACATTATACATTTTCATAATGTACTCACTTATAATTTCATTGCTTTTATGCTCTATTGGAATGAGTTTACAAGGAGTAGTACTTGTTTTGACCTTTTCAAAATAATCAAAAAGGTGTGATGTTTGTCTTAATAATTTTTAGTGCATTTCACTTCAGGTATTGTGCTCCTGGTAGTTTTTGGAATAAATTGAATTATGATGTAATATTCATGTGGTTAGAACATTCTCGCTTTTCAAAACTAGCCATTTATTCAATAGTGCTTTCTGCAGTAAACGCAGAAGGATGTTCAGTCTGAATCATTTGATGATATGTTCTTACTTTTTTTTTAAAGTTAGTGTGATTAAGTACTGAAATACTCTCTAAAATGACATATTCAAAAGAAATATTAATTGAAAAAAAAAGTAAACTCATAATTAACAAATTTATCATTTCGTTATATATATATTATGCAAGCAAAAGACATACTATCTACCTTCATGACATGAAATAATTTAGATCGATACTCATAAAATACCTAACAAAACATTACATTTTTATTCTTTGGACATGAATAATAATTTGTATGTGGTATTCTTAAAATTTTAGTTAATAAATATTTGTAATAAATTTTGCTCACAATAGTGTTTCTTTGGACCAACTTATTGTATGCATGAATACTACAACAACAAGAAGCCTTTATTCCACTAAGTAGGGTTGGCTACATGAATCATTTTTCTCTATTATCGTATTGAGTATAATATCTTCATTTAATTCTAATAAAATAAAATCATTTCTTATACTTGTCCAAGTTTTTTTAGGCTTACTTCTATCTTTCTTAATATGAGTCAAATCTAATTCAACTATTCTCCTAACAAACCCATCAGATGGTCAATGTTTAATATGACCAAACCATCTAAGGTGACTCTCACTAATTTTGTCTGCAACTTGAGCTACTTCAACCCTTCTACGGATATATTGTATGCATGAATAACACAAAAAAATAGGTATAAATTCCATAGATTCAATGCTTGTGTGCAATTTTAATGATGCCTCTTATACCCACGCATATAATTTTGTACGACCGCATACGCTTCATTTCAAAATCTTGCAGTTTGGGTTTTTTTTTGATATTGCTGCGGTTCTTAATGCCCACCATTTCTTCAGTAAAAAAATTCCATTTCTTCAACAAAATGTTTGCATTTACCTCCAAAAGCAAAATTTATTAAATATCTTATTTGAATTGTCTTTTGCTTACTTAAGGTTTGTAATTTTAGATAATATAATTTATACAGTATACTGATGAAATTGCTCAGTGGCTGGCCATATTTGGTTCATATTTTAATGTCATTTATTCCATCTTCCCGTAATGTGCCATGTTGTACACTAGGGAACACTAAAATCTCGATTTGTGCAGAAAATGAACACAGAAGAATGCATAATTTTAAAACAATATAAAAATAAGTGAAGTGACTATATTTCGGATAAAGATATGATGAAGATGGTAATGGATGCGTGTTTTTACTCTTTCCAAATAGTTCAAAAAATTATAAATTTATGTTTTCTATTATATGTGTGTTTATTTTGAATTCCAGATTATGCTTCTCAGTTTCTCCAAGATCATTTTCCCTCATTATAGTGATATTTTACTTTATATCTTTTTCCAAAAAATGCCTTGATAGTTACTACCTTCTTTTGTTTGTTCTGGTTTCTAAGTTTTCAAAGATGGCGGCAAAGAGGAGAAGAAGAAAAATCCGACATCTTCACCTGTGAAGTGTTATTTTGTCCGAACAACATCTTGTTGGGCAAAGGATGAAGATAAATCCTATATACTGTTTAATAAGTCTATCAGTGAAGCTCGGACCATTTTTATGCATGTACATACAGTTTCATCGTTAGCTAAATATATGCCTAGGTGAGCAGCTTGATTGATTCTGTACATGCATGTATGCACAATTTTATTTGAAGTACTATGTCTTTCTTTATATTGTGTATTGGATTTGATCAAGTTTTTTCTTTTTTCTTAATTTGTTTTTACTCTGCCACATGCATATGCCATTGAATTCTTCTGGTTCTTTTTGTTGAATAGTATTAGTCAAAATACCTGCAGGTTTTCTTTGATATTGTCGAAAACAATAAAGCTTGATGTTGACCTTTCTTCTGTTAATATCCAAGTGATAGATGACATCCCATGTCGGGTATGACTCTTTGCCCCCTTCCTGCCCCTGCTTAAAAAAACTTAACTTTAAAACTGATGATATTTCAATTAAAAAAATAATCTCTCCTTTCTTCATATTCAATTTTAAGAGAATGTCTTGGCTTAGCAGTTATTCTTTTTTTTGTTTGCTTTGTTTGGTTCACAAAATTGCATATCACCTACCCTGTATCTCATTTTACAGGATGAATACGGACATGTTATATATAATGATGAGGAAGAGGATGAACGCATGATTCATACTGATGGAACAGGGTTCATCTCCGAGGATCTGGCAATGAAGTCCCCAAATAATATTTTTAAGGGCCATTGTTTAAATTCAAATAATATGGAGGTTAGATGTATTGATTACTGACTTATCAACATCATGAGACACTAAAGCATTTTGAAACGTACATGTAAATAAGGGTCCATTTGGGGCAGCGGTGCGGTGGGTAAACTGCATTTTGACAGTTTTTTTCAAAAAACTATCTCTAAAATCTGCTTTTTCTCACCACTTTTGGCTAGGTGTGGTGGCAACTTTCTAGCTGCGATTTGACGTCTTCGTGAAAAAAAATTGTAATAGTCACCGCAGTTTTTTGAGCATCAGATTATTATTCAGCAGCTTCATAGTTACTTTTTAATAACCTGCAACTGCCACAAACAGACCCCCCAAGACTTGTTTTTTATAGCTTGGAATTCCATTGGGCCTTTTTAGAACCGTTTCTTATAAGTAAAGAAGCCTTTGAGTAGTGGTTAAGTTGCATGGGATGTATTCTAGAGCTCTCAAATTTGAAAATCGAAAACATTCTCTTTTTAAAATTGTATAACACTTATCCCCTATATCATTTATTAGTGGCAGCTCGATGGTTTGCACCCACCTTTTGAGTCATACGTGGATCGGCTTGAACTTGCTCGAGATCAGTTCAATGTATTTTTTGTTCATGAAAGTTATAGATATAATGCTAAATAAAATCCAATATAACAAGCCATTACTTGATTTCAAGCCCATTTTGAGCTGGAACATATCCAAATAACTCAATTTGAGTCTGCTAGTTTGGATTTTCAACCGAATTGAGCCAATTTCAAGCTGGAACGAATCAAAATAACTCAATTTCCCGCTGGATCGAGCTTGATTCAATTTCCGGCCGAGCTGGCTCAAAAGCTACTAGATGATTTCGAGCCGCACTCAATATATTCGAGCCAATTTCAAACTGACTCCAACTTGGCTCAAAATGGGATCATTAACATCCCTAGCTCTCAGCGGTTGTGTAGGGTGTAAGGAGGCACTGGCAGTTTGAAGGTTGAGGAGAAACATTGTTGGGAAGTGGATCACCTGCACTCTTACAAGATACAACCATGCCACTTATAAGAGCAGTGACAACAATTCTAGAGATGAGAAACTTGGGAACAAGTCTCAAATTGCATAAACCTAATGAAAAGTTCCAAAATCAGATTCGAGACATCATATTTATACCCCTAAGCAAAAAATAAATAAGGAAAAAAAAAAGAAAACACACACACACAAAACACTTAGTTATGTTCCTAACTTGGTAATAATGGACTTCAAAGTTGGATAGTGTTAGGAAGGCTGGAAATCTTGTAACCGAGACCGACTTGTATCATCTTGAACCCATCAGAGACAGAAGTTCCGCCCTACGCTCTTGGACGGAAGAAACACACTGGCATCATATTCTTAGTGTTGAAACACATTCTTCATCAGCTTTTGTATTTGGTATACAAAAACATTTTGCATCAATAGGAAAGTGCTTTTGAGTTGCACAAAATCAAAGTGGCATTGTTCACAACAATTTTAAAAAAATGCTTTGATTTTTTTTTTGTCTACCTTATGCGGTCAATTGTTCAATTTAATCTATGTTCGGTAGTGCTGTGTAAATATTTTTGATTTTACTTTTTACATAGTTTTCACGGAAAAAATAGAGTTTAATGCCAAATCTAAGTGAATGGCATTATTAGTTGCTATCTCAACTATTAAGGAAATTTCTTAACTTTGTAGTTTCTTTTAGGGTAGTCCTAATTAATTTATGATAAACAAAAACAAAACTGCAAGCCACTAAGTGGGTTCAGGTGCATGAATCCTTTTTCTTCATTGAGCTTTATTGAGTGTCATATTTTCATTTCATTCTAATAAATTAAGATAATTTTTGATACAACATGCCCTAGTCTTTTTAGGTCTACCTCTATCTTTCTCAACATAAGTCGAATGTAAAACATCTATTCTCATAATCGGATCGTCAGATGATCGATGTACAATGTGACCAAACCATCGAAGATGACTCTCTCTAGTCTTGTCTGTCACTGGAGTTACAACATCCCTTTCATGGATATATTCATTTCGTTTTTTGTCTCTAAGAGTCAAGCTACTCATCCACCTAAGCATTCTCATCTTTGCAACATTAACTTAGTTTTATGCTTCTCTTTTATTGGCCAGCATCCTGCACCATAGAGCATTGCAGGTCTCAACATCATCTTACAAAAGTTTTCTTTAAGCCTAAGCAGTATTTTTCTATCATACAATAGTCCCAATGTATTCCTCCACTTCAATCATCCAACTTGAATCATACTAATAACAACCCATCCAACTTGAATCGTACTTTTGAATAGTAGACCTGAGATATTTAAAAAATTCACTCCTTTTAATAAGTTGATCACCCATTGTTGTAACTCTGTAACTAGATCTACTACTACTAAAATTACATTCCATGTATTTAGTTTTAGATCTACTCAAACGAAAGCCTTTAGACTCTAATATAGACCTCCTTAGTAGTTGTTTTTTTTAACTCTTTCTCTATTCTTATCCACAAGAAGGATACCATCAGCGGAAAACATACACCAATGTCTGCTGTAAATGCCCAGTAAGTGCATCCATAACTTAAGCAAAATGATATGGGCTTAAAGCCAATTTGTAATGTAATCCACCTGAAATTGAAAAAATACTTGGTCAATCCTCCTGTTCAAACACAAGTAACAACTTTAGTATACATATATATAATGACTTGAATATAAGTCATACCAACACTTTTTTTTTCTTGAACTCTCCAAAGAATTTCTCTTGGAACCTTATCATTAGCCTTTTCTAAATCAATAAAAATCATATGTAATCCTCTATTCTCTATGTACTTCTCCATCAAACCTCTCAATAAATGTATAATTTCCATGGTAGACTTTCCTGACATAATTTCAATTTGATTATGACAAATCTTTATATTGAGTCTTAGCCTTTGTTCAATTGTTCTCTCTATCAATTTTAATATATGCCACATTACCTTAATTCCTCTATAATTCACACATTTTTTTGCATCCCTTTTATTCATAAAAATGTGGACCAAAATATGCTTCCTCCACTAAGGCATTTTTTTAGTTGTTTAAATAATAAAATAGGATCAACTTTTTTCCTAGTATTTTAGTTGTTCCAAAATCATTATGTGGAAACTATTTCACGTGTTCATTTGATATTGATAGTGCAACACAAGCATTTATTAATTATTTTCTTGTAATTTTCCTTCAATGAGAGTATGATCTTACTCCTGTGATGTTGCATGTTGCTGTGGCTCTCGACTCAGATGAGGGTGAAGAAAGTGAATGAGGGAGTTTTCTCATGCGGGATATTGTGATCTTGTATGTCACACCCCTACTAATCCCTTTGGTAGGGTCAATCGTGGTACGAAAGAGGATGGCAATTTGGTCAGACCAACTCTCACTAGCACTCGTACTGAATTTTATAATCAGGACCCTATAGATGATGAATTAGTTTAACTGGACTGCCGCAACATACGTGATATATTGCATTGAATAAATATACTAAAAAATATGAAAATTATGTCATTCAAAATATGAAAACTATACAAAGCTGCTAAATCTAATATAATAAAAAAACATAACCAAAACTTATGTACAAAACTCCCAAACTTATCGTGCAAAAGTTGTACAAAGACACACTTGGCTACTCGGCCCGATGTTCGTTGCCCCTGCTTGAAAAGCATCAATGAAGAATGAGCAGTAATAAGCTCATAGAAATAATTAAAGCTAATATAAGATTTTATACATGAAAAAGAAATGTGCATGCTTGTAGGAAACTATACATGCCTACACACATAACATGCTAACTTAGTCAAGAACATGAAAAGGGAGTAGATAAAAGTAATATAAAAATCAACTGTAGTATAACTTGTAGGTCATATGTTTGAAATCATAAATATAATAGAAAAACATGTTCATAGTATATTTCATAGCAATATTTTTTCATACATTTCATAGCATATCATAGTAATGTCACTTGTTTAATGTATATGATTCAACTATTTTTATGTTCTTTCATCATCAATTTTCACCCTGCCCCAAAGGTCATATAAATTATCGATAAAGGTTGGACTTTCCTCAACATAGCAGTTGTCGACAACTCTCATCATTCCCACGGTTTTCTAACGTTCTGTCACCACCTAATTCCAACGATTTCTAGAGCTTCATCCCTATATAAAATTATTTTGCATGATCTACGCCTTCGATGGCACTTGAAATGATGAAAGCATGAAAAATGAGTCAAAAGTCAAATTCAAAAGGTGAGGAAAGAAATGAAAGCTTCAAATATCGTGAATCACGAATAGGGAGGTGGAAGGTCGGGGAAGAGGAGAAATTTGGTTGTGGGAGAGGAAATCGGGAGGAAGGGAAAGAATGCACAGGCTGTGGAGCCATATTCGAACTAAATATCACAAATGAAAGGTGGGTAACTACAATTCTGCAGGATTAAGGGAGGAAATTAGGATTTAAATAAGTTTAATTAATTTAATTAAACATGTAACTTTGAAATTTTGTATCTCTCGAACCATTCATATTTAACACATAGTGCTTTATATAGAATTGGTCGATTTCATACATCGTATTTTATAAAATTATTTTGATCAAATTTCGGGAAATGAAAAATATTGGGCACTTTTAAAATTTGCCGAACTTTACCTAGTATGTTGAAATTTTGGTGTTGCAACTCTCCCCTCATAAAAATTTTTTCCTTGAAATTTCCGACTTTATTGGAATTGGAATGGACATTTCCATAACATTTCTTCTTTTTCCCATGTTGCTTCCTTTTCAGGTCCGTGCTTCAACTTTATCTTCATAAAAGGGATTTATCTGTTTTGGAGGTTCTTAACATCAGTTGCTAAATCTTTTCAGGCTCTTCAATATATGTTAGATTTTTTTTTGTACTTCAATATTTTCATGTGAAATTCTCTCCTCTGAATTTGAAACTTATTTTCTTAACAGAGAAATGTGAAGCACATTGTGTGTATCTAAGCAGGAAACGCTAATTTGTAGGCAAATAGACCAATCCTTTCTATAAGT